GGGCAGGCACTTCTGCTCTCAGGGTGCTGGTGACAGAACTATGGGTGTAGCTCCTCCTGCCTTTGAAGACTCTGCAGTGAGGCTCACCCACAGCCTCCTCCAAGTCCAACAGGGACTGCTGGGCTTCTGAGCTGTGGGGCTGCTCTGTCCACAGCAGTGTGCCAGGAAAAGAGAAGAGGGCTGACCCTGGGCGGAACCCCTGCTTCTCAAGAGGGCCGTGCCCAGAACAGTTGCGGACTGACACTCTCTGTGCTGAGGTCCCATCTTTGGTGATTCAGGCTCAAGTGCTGCTCCAGCTTGCTGAGTAAGCAGCCCCCCTGGAAGAACTCCCCATGCCCATGCTGTGTGTATCCTCACAGGCACCTTGCTGGGAGAGGATCTGAGCTGTTTAGCCCTGCGTGACCAAAAGAAACCCCAGCAAGATGCGAGAGGGCTGCTGTGTGCTGCACGAGGGCCTCTCACTGGTGCTGAACAGGCAGTGATGGGTGCTAAAAATGACCCGTAGGACCTGTCCTTGAGGGTTTCCATTCACTGTCTTTTCTTGGGAAAGCCTCGTGCAGGCTCTAGAGGCACAAGGACCCCAGAAGTTGTGTGCATACTCACTTTCATGTGAAGGCTGAGGGAAAATCCCCTTGCTGCAGGTGGCTCTGTTGACCCATGCTGGGTGTGTGACTCGCAGGACAGAGCAGGGTGTGCCCTGAGGGAGAGCTGGTTGGGCCAGCCCCACCTCGCTGCCAGAAGCTTGGTTTCAAAATGGGCTAATAGCCGGGCACACAGACACTCTTTTTCATCTCATCCTACCCAGCACATATACAGCTCCCAAGGAGCCAGGCAGCTTCTGTCTGGTCAGCCAGAGTTAGAAAAGAGCCCTCTGGGACTCACTGCCGACCACCATGGGCAAAAACCCAGGCTGTGATGCCAGCATAGGTGTGCGGGCTCTGTCCAGTGCCCTCTCGCCTTCTAGGAGCTCATTTCATGTATGGTGGCCCAGAGGCCGTGAGAACCCCAGTGCCTAGCAACCAGAGCAGAGTCTTCACCCCTAGCACAAAATTTCACAACCAGTCATAGCACCACTTTCTGTGAATATTTTCAGGGCTAGGCATCATTGGAGAGCTTGGAGGAGTGACAGGAACCCACATTAGCAACTAGAGAACAAATGAGACCATAAGTAACTAGGTGCATGAAGGACACTTGAGGAGGCCATGGCAGATCAGGCTTCGTGGAGATGAAGGTTCGAGCAGAGGCCTGGGGCAATAAAGGTCAGATGTGCAAGCAGAAAGGCCAGAAGAGAGACACAGGACAGAGATGAGGCTTAGCTGAAGCAGGGGTACAGGTTGTAGCTGCTTTCCTGGGACAGCATAAGGGGCTATACTCGGAGGGAAAGAGATGGCTGGACAGGCACTTGCCTTGTAAGAATCAGAGACATTGCAGGCTGTCCAGCAATGCCAGGTACTAGTGGAAGCTTCCTCTGAGGGAGGCAAAGGACAAGGTATTACAAGGCAGGGACCAGAGCCCCAGGGGCTGGCTGGAGGCAAGTAGGAGGTACTTTGGTTACCTAGGGGGAAACTGAGGAAAGTCACAACCACAGTCTGTGCAGCAGGGAAGGGGCAGAAAGGATTCTCAGATGGAAAGACAGACAGACACCATCTCCTCCTGAATAGCTGTGGAATGACCTTGGATAAAGTGGAGCTTTTCCCATTTGAGGCCTCCTCAGACTGCTGGGCTCTCTCCAGCGAACACCAACTAGATTCACATCTTGGAGGTCCTGAGTCTGGAGCTGCAAAGGCTTCATTTGATTCACCCACTCAATTTCCTTACTTGCCAAATGGGGGGTGGCCTCTGAGAGCTTCCAATTTAGGAATAGGAAGAGGAGGAGCATTAATTGGGGGTTAAAAGAACACACTTCTCCAAGAAGGGAAGAAAGCTGCCTAAGTTATCAGCAGAAAGAGAGAATAGGATCAGGCTGGGGAGGCTCCCAGAGGGAACCGTGTTCCAGGCCTCTCTTGGCCTGTGGTTCTGACTGTTGACCCCCAGAACCCCCATTGGAGTCCAAGTGGAGGAACTTTGGGTGCACCCTGGCTTCAGCCTGAGTGGCCTAGCTTGCCCTTTGGTTGAAAGGTCAGCCCTGCTCGCCGGAAGCTGAGTTTCTAGTCTGGAATGTTCTGATCCATGGATCCTCCCACCCAAGGCTGGGGTTCCCCAAGGACGCATGGGATAACCAGACCAGGAATGTGCGTATATGTGTGTCACTGTCCTTTATATTCAAAGAGGAGGCTGACGGCAGCTCGGTATCAGAGTGTTGGGCTGGGCATTGGCCACAGAGCTCCCTTACCTGCTGCCCACGGGTGCCCACGGCCCACACAGTCTCTTCCAGCTGCAGCTGTTCCCTTGGGACCAGGAGGAGTGTTTGGAAATGCAGGGAGGGAGCATTTTTGCTAATCACAGTGATGGGCATTGCTAACACTAAACATCCTGTGATGTGTGGGGCATCCTGCAGGATGAAGACTTGCCCTGCCTTGCAGATGCCAGCTGCAGCCACGAAAGGAAATACTTCTGTGAGTCCCAGCAGGAGACTTGAGGAATACTCCTGGATTCCCAAGTCACTGCTGCCATCTTAGCCTTAGAGGCGGCAGCTACCACTGGTTCACAGACCACCTGTGCAGGGAGGACGAGTGCAGCCTGCCTCGTCGAGCTTTGAGGGGAACTCAAGTCCCTTGTGGCTCTGGGGGATGACAAGATCTAGTTGAGAAGTTTCTGTCCTGCTTGTCAAAGTGACAGCACAGGGACACCATGATGGAAAAGAGCCATCCGCGACTGTCCACACTTGCCATCCTTGGACAACACAGGCCACCGGCACTGTGACTCTAGAAGCTGGGGTGGGGCGCCCAGGAGTAGATGATGCCATCGGGTGTGGCTGCGGAGGGCTGGCAGATGCAGTCCCACAGGAGCATCCCAGCCTTCCCCTCCTTGCACTTCCCCTGGGGGTGCAGCCAGCGCCTGTTCCTGAAGGGCAGCTACCCCAGCTGAGACTTGCCAGGGCTGCTGTGGCTCCTTTTCCCAGGCGGAGAGCAAAGCCCAGAGCCTGTGTCGGGTCTAATCAGCATGATCACATCTTCGCTGGGTTTGGGCCAGGCGAGCATCTGGACTTCTCATCAGGTGTCTGAGATGACGTCCAGGTGTGTCATTTACTGAGAACAAGGGAGCTCCTTGTTGCATTTCCTTCTAAGGCTTGGCCTGTTGTTGGGGAGGCTCCGCTTTCCCTCCAGGGCCACCTTCCACCTTCCTTCCCCAGAGGAGAATGCAGTGCAGCCACAGCCAGAATCAGGGGAGGCCTTGTTGCATATTTTTCATGTCAGCGGCAAGGTGCCCACTCCATGTCCAAATGCTCAGGAATGCCCAGCTCCTCTTCCTCTGCTTTGTTACTGTCCATTTGTGCCTCTCCAACCCACAGACTCCAGTTTCCTTTGGGGTAGGCTGGTTTGACCCAGTTCAGGCAAGAAAATTTCAACTGCCTGAATACACAGCTGGATGTGTGGGTGACAGGGATGCAATGCCATTGCCAAGGTTAACAGTTGGTGGCTTCTGAGTTTTGGATGTGACTTCTAACTGGCAGCTTGACACACAGTCGTTCTGGGAGCTTGAACCATGGATGTTCCTGCTTTCTGTGACTCCTTGCAGAGTTGAAAGAGGACCCAGGAGGGTCTAGGGATTTAGCTCAGTGGTGCCACACCCACCTCGAAAGCTCATGGTCCTGAGTTCGATCCCCAATACCAAAAAAAAAAGAGGACCCAGGTGAAAGCCAGCCCCTCCCAGTTGTGTGGCTAGATGCGGTGCAGAGGGGGATCGCCCAGAACCCCCACCCCCGTCTCTGTCCTCACCTCTGTCTCCCCTGGGTGGGGCAGGCTGGCTCTGGGCTGGTCGTGGGCCTGGCTTCTCCCAGCAGAGGTGAGTCCCAAGGCAGCACCTGTGTGGAGATATTTTATCAGGCTCCATGTTGGTCTCCTGGTGTGAGAACAAGTCCCAGCAGGCCAGACCCACCAGCTTGCAAGCTCCTGGGAAAGTCTTCCTAGGACAGTTCTGTCCCAGAGCGAATTCCTACTGAGGGTCAGGCTTTGCAGACTCCTCCCAAGGAGGCTAACCCCACCCTGGGCTCACAGAAACTCAGGGATGCCTCACTGTCCAGAGTATATTTTCCTGTCGGTTGAGCCTCTGCCAGCATCTCCCCACTGCAGCCTAACAGTAAAGCCCAGAGGCCCAACATGTGAACTACCCCACAGCACTGGGGCCATCTAGGAGCCACATGGGTCCCAAGTGGCAGCTCCTGTTATAGAGGCCCAGGAGCAGGAATATGGTGCCTCTGGGACCCAAGGCCTGTTACCATTTGCTCCTTGCCCTGGCAAAAAGGAGGCAGCATGAGGAATATGGCAGAAAATGACAGTGGCAACAGCTGTGGCTGGAATAGATGATTCTGAGCCCCGCGTACAAGTGACCCAGGAGGTCTGGGTGTGTTAAGAGCTGCTGGGGTCTGGGAATGACCCAAGGTGACAAGGCGAGGGCCAGAGACACAGCTCAAGTCTCGCTCTCATCCTCACCTCACCAAGGGACCGTGGGAAGCCCTCTCCTCTCTCGGCCTGCAGCCTCCTGCTGAACTTTCCCCTGGTGGCCAGTCACACTTTGTTGGTGTGACACTAAAAACTATTTCCACATTGCAATCCAGCACTCATTCACTGCTGCACAAAACCACATGTGCACTATGCTCTGGTATATTATTTTATACTATTTTTAATAATGATGAGCACAGTCCACTACAGTGATTTGCTAATCCATAGTGAGTTGCAATCTGCAGTTTAAAAAGTAATATAGCAGACAATGGCTAAGGTTCCTTCCTCTCCAAACATTCCTGGGTCCTCTCCAGGAAAGAGCTGTATGCTCCGGCCAAGCAGAACCAGGATCCCCCTGTCAGGAAGTGTGGCTGATTCTCTCTCCTTTCCTTTGTCCAGATGTATAATGGGACCCTTAAGCGGGAGCCGGACAACAGGCGCTTTAGCTCCTATAGCCAGATGGAGAACTGGAGCCGGCACTACCCACGGGGCAGCTGTGCCACCCCCGGCGCAGGCAGTGACATCTGCTTCATGCAGAAAATCAAGGCGAGCCGGAGTGAGCCCGACCTCTACTGTGATCCAAAGGGCACCCTGCGCAAAGGCACGCTGACCAAGGGCCACAAGACCACCCAGAACCGCTACAGCTTCTACAGCACCTGCAGTGGCCAGAAAGCCACCAAGAAGTGCCCTGTGCGCCCACCCTCCTGTACCTCCAAGCAAGAGCAGACGTATGTGCCACCCATCTCCTGCAACAAGGACTTGTCCTTTGGCCACTCAAGAGCCAGCTCCAAGTGAGTGCTGCTGGGTTGGGGCGGGGCCAGCCAGGACCCAGGCAGGGAGCAAGGGCCAGGTGGGGACAACCAGGGCCTCCATGACTTCTCAGCACAAAAGGGTGACTGAACCTGACCTTGAGTATGCAGCTTGTAGAGGCCACAGGTTATGAACAGAGGGAGGTCACCTAGAGAAGGCTAGGGGGCCAGTGCATCTCCAAGTATGTTCTGCCCTGCAGCAGTATCGCCATCCCCTGGGTATGGGTAGAAATGCTCATTCTTGGGTGTGTCAGCCCTATTGCCTTGAAACGCTGGGAGGGTCACTGATGTGTGCCCCAGAAAGCCCGCCAGGTGACTGATTCACACCAGTCTGAGGCATGACGATCTTGACCCAGGTTCCAGAAGAGCAAGGGAAGGTGCCCTAGAATAGACAGGAGAATAGGTTATGGGTTATGTTATAGCGTGGGTTAAATTTAAAGGACATGAAAACTCTAGAGGGATGTGGTCTAGTGCTGAGGAGCAGAGTCCAGCTCTGGTCCACAAGGGCTAGAGAGCCGTTGCCCAGTGGGAGTGGAGACCCAATGTGGGGCCCTGTAAAGGCGCAGGCACAAAGAAGCTGGGGACCACTGTGCGACGCATTACCCTGAGCCTTGCCTGTCAGGCTCAGAGGTCCAGGAACCATCCAACTGTCCTGTATCACTGACCATCATTCATTTATTTTGGCAAGTGTTTACTGAGCATCTACTACATGCCAGACTCTGTGGTGAGTGCAGGGAACACAGCCAAGAATTAATTATTCTTCACAAGGCCCTAGGAGATGTGCATTCTTTGACTATCACGGTCCCTTCCACATAGGCATTATCGTCCTTAAGGAGGGAACGAGGCACAGAGATGTTAACTAGCTTGCCCAAGGCCACAAAACTGACTCCATACCCTGTGCTCTTTCCTACTAATATCACACTATTCTGAAAACAAGGAGAACCCATTATAAATCTTCTCCTTAAAGGATCATTTGGAAAAAAGATTAAGAGCTCTCACCCTCAGAGATGGATCCACCCAGAGGCCATGAATGGAGGGTCTGGGTGAGCTGCTGAGGGGAGGAGTGATAAGCCATTTAGAGGTGACATTTCATTGAGAAAAACAGGGCAGGGCAAGGGATCCTAACTTAGTGCCAGAGAGCTCTCCTTCTTGGAAGGTTTTTCCAGAAACAAGGCTGGATCACTCTAGCTAAAATCATGACCATTCACTGAGCACCTGCTATGGGAAAATGTGAGTCTCGGACACATGAGAAGAGGGCTCCCTGTGTAAATGGGAAGGGGACCCATGGAGTAGGACTAAGGACCACAGAGGATTTGCCCTTGCCCTTGGGGACCTTGCCATCAGTTAGGAAGTGGGACTTGCTCAGATGGAAAGGGCTGCTGTCACTCCATGCCATTGGGGCTGGAAAGGTTCCTAGAGAGGGGCCCTTTTCCTGGGAGTCTTCAAAGACGTGGGACTCCAGTAGCCTGGGGCATGCCTGAGACCTGACAGTCTTGCTTTAGTGGGCCCTTGGTAGGATCTGGGGAGTGTGCAAGAGGACAAGAGTGGAACCTGACTACTAGGTTAAAACATGACATTTCTGGTTTTGTGACTCAAAAAATGTGGGCTATCAGACATTTACTGTGGTCTAACCTAATCTACATCCTTGTATTTCATTTGAAGCAATTTGAACTTGAACCTGCAGAATTCAGGAGCTGGTGATGGTTTCTGAGCTGGGGAACGATCCAGGGGATAGGGTTTTAGGACAACTTCTCTGGTTAAATCTGTAACATATTAGAAGGGGGAGCTTGGAGGAAAGAGCCGGGTCTCCCTCCAGGAGAGCGATCCTGATCCAGAGTAAAGTGGTGGCTGGGAAGAGGGGTAGATGTGAGGATTTTTTTGTAGTAAGAGCCAGTAGGACCTGGAGATGGATGGATTGTTGGATGAGTGGGTTGTTGGATGGATGGGTTGTAGGATGGATGGATGGATGGATAGATTGTTTAATGAGTGGATTTTTGGATGGGTGGATTGTTGGATGGATGTATTGCTCGATGGATGGATGGATAGTTGAATGGGTGAATTGTTGGATGGATGGATGGATGGATGGACGGATTGTTGGGTAGATGGATTATTGGATGGGTGGATTGTTGGATGAACTGATGGAATAGACTCAGCCATTCTCTTCCATCTTCCCAACACCAGCACAAACATGAGGCAGGTTGAGGCAGGGCTTCCCTTCAGGGAACTGAGTAGCATTTTGCAGTGTAGAGACAACTGGCTTGTACAGACCTTAACACAATCCATAACTAGGCCTCATCGCAGCTAGGGTCCCTTTGGGAGGAAATCCTGTGTGTGAGCCTGTCCCTTCTCTAGGGGAACTGGCCCCAAGGCCTTCTCCAAGTGGGGCAGCCTGCCTTGATTTGACCCTCTGAAGGGCAGATGAGGCTGTGTCAGCTCAGATGTGCAAGGAAGATTCTGAACTACTCACGAGGGTGCCTGGCTCCCCCGTGACACAGCCCTGCTGCCTGTCCTCATAGAATCTGCAGTGAGGACATCGAGTGCAGTGGACTGACTATTCCCAAGGCTGTGCAGTACCTGAGCTCCCAGGATGAGAAGTACCAGGCTATCGGGGCCTATTACATCCAGCACACCTGCTTCCAGGATGAATCCGCCAAGCAACAGGTAACAGCCACACGTCTTCCTCCCAGTAGGCCTGGGCAGTGCCTGGGTGTGGCAGCCTGACCCTGCATTTGTCAATCGGTGGGGGCACATGCAGTCGCCTCCTTCTCACCCTGCCCAGCTGCCAGGATAAAGAGTATGTTTGGTATTGCCCAAGGTCAGAGCTGGCATCTCAACATGCAAAGCAAATCCCTCTGTTGAGTGGACATTAGAAGAATGCATTTCCACCCACTGGTCATGGAAAAGAACTTTGAGTGAGAGCTATAGGTCAACAGAAATCTCTTCTCAAATTCCGATTAGGAACACGACGACCCCCCACCTCTCCGCTCCCTCCTCCCTCTGCCTCTCTTCCTCCCATAATCTTCCTCAGGTGGGGCTGGAAGGAAGGACATCCATGGGCTCTGCAGTCCAGCCCAAGATGTTATGCCATAAATTCGTTTCCTAGGGTCCAGGTTTAGTCAGCATGGAAGTTTCTGGTAGGAGAAAGAGCTTCCAGGAGAACAACTCTCTCCTGTCTGTGCTCTGCCTGAGGATTCTGAGGTGCCTACATATACATTTGCTCATCCAGCTCTCACCATCGTACTCCAGAGGAGGAAAACAGAGCTCAGGAAAGAAGGGCAGCTTGGTGGCAGTCACCCAACTAGGATGCAGTCTGAATCCAGGTCTTTTTGGCTTCTGGCTGTGTCAGTTACCATTACCTCCTGCTACTAGTCTATTTTGGTTTGCTTGGGTGTTTCTAAACTGAAAGTAGACTTTTTTTGGTCTAAGAAAAATCTACTTTCAGCACAGGATAATTGGCTAGGCCTCCTCCTACCCCAGCCCCCGCCAACAGGGCAATGTGGCAACTCTTCCTGCAGGTCTACCAGTTGGGAGGCATCTGCAAGCTGGTGGACCTCCTCCGCAGCTCCAACCAGAACGTGCAGCAGGCTGCAGCTGGGGCCCTGCGCAACCTGGTGTTCCGGAGCAACACCAACAAGCTGGAGACCCGCAGGCAGAACGGGATCCGTGAGGCCGTCAACCTCCTGAGGAGAACCGGGAGCACGGAGATCCAGAAACAACTGACTGGTAGGCAGCGCAGTGTGGAGATCCAGGAGGGGCTATGCATGGCTGCTGGCTGTTACATCCAGCACACCTGCTCTTCAGCCCTGACCCGAGTCACACCTGTGCAGATTTCACCTGGGCTCCAGGTTAGCATATTTTCCCAACATAGGTGCTCATGATTTCAGCTAAAGCAACCCAACTCAATTTCTGGAAAAATCATCCAAGGGGCCAAACTCTCGGGCACTGGGTCAGAAGCCACCTTACCCTGAACTGCTTGTCATCTTGCAACTACCAGTCCAGTGTCACCACTAACTGATCCCTCTCTCTCTCTCTCTCTCACACACACACACACACACACACACACACGCGCGTGCGCGTAAAATTCTGGTCTTTTTTAGAGGGCAAGAAGAGAAGGGCTGATATCCAGGCAAGATCCATATGCAGCAGAGCCTGGGATCTGCAGGTCATGGGGAGAGAGCAAAGCTTTTGGGGTCCATTTACAGATCTTTAACATCCACCTGCGTGCCAGCTACTCGAAGCTCTCCAGGGGGAGCATTGGAAAGAAAGGTTTCACTGTAAAGACCTCACATTCCACCAGGACAAGTCCATGTAGAGTAACAGTTGATGAGGACTTCTGAAAAAACTTTCAGATGGAAACACATTAGAAGACCTCATGTGCTAAGATTTATATTTAAAACCACTGATTAGTTGGGACTGATGGCATGAATCTATAATCTCAGCTAACTGGGAGGCCGAAGTAGGAGACTCTCAAGTTCAAAGCCCGCCTGAGCAACTTAGCAAGATCTCACCTCAAAAATAAAATTTTAAAGAGGGCTGATGCAGCCAGAGGTAGAGTGCTTGCCTGGTATGTACAAAGGCCTGGGTTCAATTGCCAGTATCCCAATAATAAATAAATATTAAAGCCACTGATCCATCAAATATATGTTGGTCACCTTCTATGTGCTACATTTTGACCTCCACAGAGAAGTCTAGGTGCTCTCTGTCCTCAAGCCCAGTAGGGACATTGAGAATGGGCTCATGAAAGAGTCCGAAAATAGATTCAATGGACCAAGGCTACCAGAGAGGATCCACTTGCTAGGCTTGAGGCAGGGAACCCCTGGTACCTCTGATCCTGCAAATGCTGAGGTGACTGTCTCCATCCCTCAGGGCTGCTCTGGAACCTGTCTTCCACGGATGAGCTGAAAGAGGAGCTGGTGGCCGATGCCCTCCCTGTCCTGGCTGACCGGGTCATCATTCCCTTCTCGGGCTGGTGTGATGGCAACAGCAACATGTCCAGGGACACGGTGGACCCTGAGGTCTTCTTCAACGCCACAGGCTGCCTGAGGTAAGAGAAGAGGGCACAGGGAGTCTTTCTGCCCCAGCCCTGACCCCTTCCCCAGGCAGTCACATCTCTGTCAATATCTGGCCAGGGGCACAGAACCCTGCATCCAGCCCGGCCCTGGCTCGGGGATGAGGGGGACAGGCTCTAAAATGAGGGGCCAGGCATGGCTTGCCAAGTCCTTAGGTCTGGGTGAGGCTCAGGACCCCATCACCTCCCTTGATACAATTAGGAATGTAGCAGACACAAATAAGAATTGAAGAGTGGAAATGGCTGGATCTAAATATTCACACTGGTTCAATAATCCACCCCTCTACTCCTGGGAAATGCATATCTTGTGCTATCTTGAAGAGCATTCTTTTAGACAAAAGTCTGCTGATTGGCTGCTCATGAGTCACTTTCCCACTGTGGTGCCATAACCATTTGCTATGTTCTTTGGCATGAAGATGGCACTGCTTTGCCCAAAGTTGTCTGAGTTCCACACCAGGGTGTGGTAAAGCCCCTGTGTGGCTGCTAGAGGAGGGATCTGGCTCTGCTTATTCTCAGAGCAGAGGTTTCCAAGCGGAGGGGTGAGCGCCCACCTGGAGTGTGGGACCATGCAGCAAGATCCCCCTTAGGTCACACATTGCTCCAGTAGGGTTTGTCTTTCCCGACTCCTGAGAACCCCCAGAATGGTGGCTGCAGCTGGCATGAACTTCTGTGTCTCAACTTGTGCTTCTCCCGCCAGCCTCTAGCAGCAGCCTCCAGGGAACAGAGACTGGAGAGATGAAAAGCCAGTTAATTAAGGACTTTATGGGGCTGCAGGGCCACTGGGAGCAACAGCAGACAACACACACACACACACACACACACACACACCACACCAGCAGCACCACCAGCAGGCAGAAGGACCCACACTGCGTGGGGATGAACTATCTCTGTGGCAGAACACAGCTTGCTTAGGGAGGTGGGTGCAACTGGTCCCTATGGAAGCCCCCCAAGCTCCATTCCCCCATCCTGCACCCCCCAGAGATCCTTCCTATCCCACAGAAGATGCCCAGCCTGCAGGAGCTTCCAGCTTCGGCCCCTTCCACCCACTAGACGTGGTTGGCATCTAGTGGCACTTGGGGGCTGCCCCTTAGTTACTATGGAGCCACTGAGAGTAAAGGGCCTGGGATAAATTTTTCTTTCCTTCCTTTTTTCCTTTCACTTTCCTCCTTCACTCTTTTCTCTGTTTCTTCTCCTCTTCCTTTCTTCCTCCTCCTACCACAACCTCCAACCTCCATTGCCTTTCTGCCTGCCTGTCCCACTCCCATCTGCCCCTGCATGTTTCCCCTACACGCTCTCCTCCCTCCCTGTCCTCTCCTCGCCCCCACGGCTCACATCCTCCGACCTCTCTGTTCTGTCCCACAGGAACCTAAGCTCTGCCGATGCCGGCCGCCAGACCATGCGGAACTACACAGGGCTCATCGACTCCCTCATGGCTTATGTCCAGAACTGCGTGGCAGCCAGCCGCTGCGACGACAAGGTGAGTGTGCACTCCTGATGGCACCTTAGCCTCAGTGTCCAGAGTTGCCAAGCCCAGAGCCACCATGCAAGTCAGTGAGCCCAGATCCTCAGACTCCAGGTCCTGCCATTTCCATCTCCCAGATCCCACGAGGCAGGGTTCATTCTCTGGATGGCTTTGAGGCCTGGCCCTGTGACAGGACAGACAGATCTAGGGCAGCAGCGGAGGTTTCGGAGGCTGGGCACAGCACTAAGGAGCACACTCGGAGCCACACAGCTCCTGGCACTCCGATGTATCCCGGGGCCTCCATGCCCTTCCTTCTACCACAGCTGTCTTCCCACTGCCTCCAAGACACCATTGGCAGGCCACCTCCTGCCAGCACAGACAGAAGGGACAAACCATGAAGGGAAGATAAGCTGCAGGCTGGGTTACTTCCCCCATGGCTGACAGAGGCTCAGTAGGCAGGGAGACCCAGCAGTGCCCAAGGGTCAGGTGGGGCCTCGTAGTACTGGAACCCTGGGCACCATTCCCCTGAGGAGGGGCTTTATCTCCTCTTCCCTCCCCTGGAAGTGACAACAGGGCCCCAGAGGACAGCCTTGTCACTTGGCACCCCCCACCCCAGTTCCCCTGAACAAAGTGATTTTCTGCTCTGGAAGCCGGATTTCCTCAGAACCCCTGGCCTAGAGGTCCACCGAGGGCAGGTGACGAGGGTGGGCCCAGCAGGCACTGAGTCCTAGGTCCTGGGGCTCATGGCGGTGTGCATGTAGCACCCGTGACACTGGAGGCTGAGGAGCAGCTTCGGAAAGAGGAGGCAGGAAGGGCCGCGGGGAGGAGAGGTACTGGGCTGCTCCTCGGGGAGGTCGTTCCAGTCAGCACACAGTCCCCACTGCCTGTCGTGTCCTTAGGAACCGTGGGGATGGTTCCAAGGTGCCAGTGGCTGCCAAAACCCTTGGATGTTTGAGCGCCTTCTATGATGTGGCAGAGTGTTTTCATATATATATATATATATTGA